CACTTACCCAGTTAAATTCCTGTATTGAACAAATCACGGGTGGGGACAATCGAATTCATTTGTCACAACATCACAGAGCATCTCAATAAAATCTGATAACAATATATTAAATCGTTAATTTGCAAAATGTTCACCAATTGTCTTAAAATGCTTCAGACTTCATTGTCCTTGCATTTTCATACAAATTGTATTCTATTTCCACTCTTGCTTTCTTGATCTTCCCCAATCTTCTGCTGCCAGACATTACATACCCGACTCGCGTCACATACTACTTATATCAATATAAGTAGCACACACCACAGTCCCATTCATTTGTTAATAATACTGCTAGTATTGAAATTACCAATTCCAAGAGAGATTTATTGTTCTCATGTAATCATGAGCATCTACAGGCAAATCAATCACTGGTATAATTAATCAAAAGTTTCCGATTATTAGGATAATCGAAATTGAATTAAAGAAAAGTACTTTGCTTAATATTTCTTCCCCTGTTAATGAATACGTTTATTTATTATTTATTTCAACACATAGATAATGGTACAAAGAGGCACCAAATACATATGCGCCACACAAATCTCATTCGATATGTGTGAGGGCTGTGATACTGCCCGGGTGCCAAAACCGAAGCAGGTGGTTTTCTTAGGGGGCCACACCCCAAGCCTTCGACCTGAAGGTCTGATCCACAAGGCAGTGGAGCATCGTAAGGAGATGCAGTCCCATGGAAGCCGGTGACCAACAATTGGTTCATACGCCATTTGTTCCCTCAGGATAATGGAGCCCATGTGCACCAATGGTTTGGAATCCGGTTAAAGCGTCGGACATTCGCTTTTCGTCCTCTCATTTTCGTAAACAACACCCCCGCCACGAGAAGGCAGTGAGTAGGACTTCCCTGGCAGAGGCTATATACGCGTGGCCGTGTGAGAGCATTTCGAGAGGGAGAGCGGACTCTCCCCACTCTCGGCCGTACCAGGGCCGTGTTGGTGCCTCAAGGTCAATTAAGGCGCACGAGCTTCACACACATGTACTCCCATCAGTAAAAGTTGGATGATGTTCGCGTACTCTCGGATTAATGTTGTAAGGTCTATCCCGTTAATAAGAAGCTATGTTGGTTCGTGCTACTTAAGACTTTTACGACTAAGTCAGATGCAAATGAATCATCAGAAAACTGCGTTATTTCTGATTTTCCACTGCTTAGTGAAGCTGTGAATGCAAAAGACTTTAATGAATACGTCTTACCTGTGCTTTAGCTAGAGGGTATTGAACACTTAGATATCCCTGTGTAATAATTTTTTCTGAAATTAACGAAAGGTTCAATCTAACAGTGCTATAAGCCCTTAAGTAGTATGAAAATGAGGCCTCTAGTTCTAGAAATAAGGGGAAAACCCGTTTGCTTGAAGTGTAGGTTGATTCCATTTGGTTCAAGAGTCCAAAAGTTTAAAAAAATTGGTTGGAGAAAGTATATTAATTTTAGTTGAATTACCCAACAGAATTACTATTGTAGCTCCTACAAGAACCGATGGAACAACATCTAGGATTTATGGTAATTAACTATTGGCACTTAATACTCAGCTATTGAAACCAAGTTACATATGTGAAAAACTGAATACTTTACAAAAACAGCGCGAAAACATCTCATTAAAATACACGCGAGAATATTTGCAAGTCCCTACGGATGAAGTCTTCGCTGAACTTGTTACTACAAGTGCTTCACTTTGATTAAATGTTTATATTTTCAAATAAAGAAATCCCTTTTCTCTTTCGACCCACATGGTCCGAGTTTATCATAAGCGCAATTGAATTCAATCTCACTGTTGATTATTTTGCCGAGTGAATTAGACCATCTCTAGTCTTCAAGGTACTGAATTGCATTAGGATGATATAGTCCTTACAGTAAATATTGAATTGTATATGGAGTCTTTTGAAGCGATTTAGACGCTTTTATGATACAAATCTTGCAATAAAGCCATTCAAATGTCACTTTCGACTCGATCTTACAAATTTCCTGTCCTATACTATAGATGTTAAAAGTTTTTAAAACTGACATGAATAACTCAGCTTCACTAATACAGACACCCTTATTGAATACTTTAGTTCTCAGATGAATGATTAGTACCCTTCAGTTTTATTCCTAAATTTACGCGGCGACTACCACTAATTATTAATATGTACAGGAAGAACGACATGAGAATACATTATGGAACATTTTGTAATTTATTGAGGCTTTTTCAAATCGTTCTCACCAACTGAATAGTGTACTGATAATTAGAACTTTAAATACAGATGTTGCTCCACTGGGAATAGACGTAACAGAAGAGGAAACCCGTAACTTTCATATCGAGATGATTAAACAAAAGTAAGGAAGTGTATCCCCAAGCACAAAGAGAAAACCAAGCTAGTCTTCGGGCATCAAAAAGACGGTATAAGTATTTCTCGGTGTAAAACACTGAAGTTGATTTAAAATATAACAAGACTGCTTTATTAGACGTCTTCTGGAATAGCTCAGTAGCGCAATTTAAAAATTGTTATAATCTTACCGTTGCAAAAAAAGTATATCACGTACAAACTCCCCAATAACTATTTTTCGGAAAACCGTTCAATGAAAGTAATAGTTTGACCGTTACCTTTCGATAGGATACAACTTGCAGAACATATTCGAAAGTGTCTTGGAGGCACCATAAATGGACTGAGAAGAGGTTGGAACGTTCAGAGCAAGTATAAGCTTCCTGAATTCTAAAAATCGAGATATATATACCTACTTCATGAAGGCGTTTCACGTTCAAATGACCGCTAAGGATCCCTGAGGTTAATCCTATAGGGATTGCTATTCTCCGTCACTAGCTATAGCCTTTACAACTTATTTAAGATAACAGTAAGCAACTAGATATTAGATGAAGACGAATTAAACCATTCCCCGAAATAGCCTCACACATGGCCCCAAACTTCTGAGTTGAGTGGGTCACTGTTCGATTCTTTTCGGAACCGGTCTCGTTAACACTAGACTTTAAAACACTTGGTTCTGTGATAATTCTAAAATATCGCCAATTACCTACTGCAACTTCCTTTGCTCCCACTGCTCATGACTGTTGCTGACTTTAATCAGATGCTCACAGTTGCCATCGCCTTTGGAGGCTGGTGCGGTGAATTTTTGGGTATCCATGGGCCCAGTAGACAATACTGAAATCTAACGACGTTGGGACATAAGAAAAGCCCTGTCCATCCACACAAAAACCCACTAAAAAGGTCATAAAAACGCCTAAATTAGTGAAATATGAACCTGCTTATTTATTACCGTCGTTTTGTTTAAATATAATTGTATTCTATATTCATCGTCTATTCAAACTGCTATCTAAAATTATGGAATCTCATAACCCCACCATATCCAACAAGTACTTATCATCTGGACATCCCGTAATTACCTTACCAATTATCCAGACGAAATAATTACTAGGTCAACAGTGCATTAACAAACTCCTTAGTTTTAAACCCAATTTCCTCATCTGTAGCTTTACTAAGAAACATGAAACGCAGATCGGCGCGATTGAAGTCAATCTGCACTTTTTGGTTAGTCCAATAAGACTCGACGTGATAGTTTTTGTTTCACGACCCAGTTGTATATTTCGCTAGCTGATAAATGTCTTATCGAACTTATAGAATGAAAAAGTTGTTCCCGATACAGTACTAACTTCCTCACTGTTTTCCCGATTAGTTCCAAGCTATATACAGTTAGACGTAAGACTTATGGAAATTTTCGACTATTAAAGGCTTAAAACAAATGATTAGCACATCACAAGGTAGTGTCAATTTTTCTAGAGCTATTAAGCTGTATGCACAAACATTATGTTATGTTAATTATCCATATGAATAGAGATATTAAACGCCCAAAACATTCAGCAAGTTACGGCTAGTGAGGTTTAAACTAAGGTGTCCCAGCCCTCTACACAAGTTGAGCAATGAAATGCGGCGCACACACGTTTGGTGCTCGCTTATACTGAAACTTGTGCACCTCCAGCCCAAACACAACGCCGTCTGCTTGATAGTCTCACCACATGCAGCACTTCAAAGGCACCAACTATATATTAGTAGCCTCGAAATGGAGAAGCACCCACGAGGATATAGTCGCGTTGACTAGTGTTCAACTTTCACCTTTCAGTTAGGTGGTGGAAATCCCAAATATCTGTAGCCTGATAGTTTGGAATTGATTTAAAACCTCTGACGACCCCGGCAGTCAAAGTTGTGAGCACATCATAGTTTTCAATGTAATTCATTATGTTTTATGCCTGATAATTAATAATAGACAAACTTGCCTTCCGACCAAGCTATACGCCACTCTACTAACTACAGTCCTAACACGAGGACTTACTGGACGAATGCGGATATCAGGGCGAGGAAAGTCAATAGAATACATCAGGAATAATAATGAGATGACTTACAGGCTGTTAGAGAAATTTATGGGAAGAAACTCCAAACAAAATACACATCTTTTTCACCGTAGTTTGCTAAAGACCGCTCAAAAATTACCGCAGCATGTAATTGAAGATCGAATGAGAGGATGGATACAAGATTTGCCCGAATATAGTCCTCAAAAAGTGCCAGGAACCACCTAGGATTGTCGGTCACTGTTACAGCCACGTTCGCAACTACCTTACAGGCAACAACCTTAAGATCGACTTGTTAAGATTACGTTTTCCTGAACCGTCGCAGTTAAATTTATTGGTCGTTGTTCTAGCTCACGAACAGTAAATGCTCTCCAATGGCGAGAACTAGACAATAAATTATGACATCCAACTTAGCTGCAAATTATCTCAAAAGTGAACAGAAGTCGGATAGTGTAACGAGTGTTCCGTAGACAAGTTTAATTCAAAATATATGGATGCGATAATGTAAATGGCTGTTGTTAAGGTTAAGTAAACACATCGAATGGTCCATATTAGATGTGTATATCATATAGACAACCCAAAATGCACATCCGCGATCCAAACCACGGATATAAATTAATCACATTAAGCGGATGCACACTGAACTCGCGGATTGGAACTCTCAGAACCATCTACATCTTCGTATACCTCGCCACGGCGCTCCTGTTGCTGGTGATCAAACTCAGGATCGAACGGATGCAACTCAACCGATTCTGCATCTTCAGGAATATCTTCAATACAAGTAGGTGGAGGAAGTAACTTTCGCAACGAATCCAGTTGAGTTTTAGAAAGAAAGCCATTCTTCGGGAATGATATGTCAAACTTGATAATCAACCGGCCTTTGTCGAACGGGTTTTTGTATCTTGGCATTCCTTCTCCTTCAATCGCACGGAAATCTTTATTAGTATACACCTCACCTAATAAAGAATTTATAAGACTAAAAACGTGAGCCTACCCGGTCTGGAAGTTATCACTAGTGTCCGATCATCTAATGATCGTATTGTTCGCTGGAAGCCACACAAGGCTTCAGAGAGTGATAATTCTATAGTGTGTATCAAGTCGTTTCGACGTCTGATGAAACGGCTATGCGGTTGCTCATCAAGGGTAATAATAAGATCGCCGGGTTCTAAGCCCGGTTCGCGATCACCTTCGTCATGGAATTTGATTGTTTGACCATCAGTCATGCCTTTGTCTATTGGGACTTCAATCACCTTGGTTTCGCGGACAACTTTTCTGCCTTCACACTTTTTGCAACAATCCTTTGGATCAATAATTTCTTTTTCGCCCTTGCATGCACTGCAGGTAGTCTGTATCTGCTGAACGAACCCGACGTTTAACTGGCGAACGTGAGTCTGGATGCCTGTTCCTCGACATGTGCGGCAGGTTACAACGGCACCCGCCTTGCCACCACGACCTAGAAATAGTAAGTTTGAGTACGCGGACTTACCTTGGCACTGATCACATATAACCTTTCGCGTAACACCAAGTTTCCTAACACTGCCATTATATAGCTCTTCTAAGGTCACTGACAACTGGTGCACACAGTCTTTTCCTCGACGGGGTCCGCGAGAACGACCACCCCCGAAGAACATTTGGAATATATCCATTGGGTCAGCCATTCCACCCGAATCAACGCCACCCTCTTTAATTCCTTGCTCGCCTCTTGCATCGTATAATTCTCTTTTTTCAGGATCGCTCAGAACCATAAATGCTTGAGAGATTTCTTTGAACTTTGTCTGTCAAAGTAACACTGGCTAACATACCTTGTCTGCGCTATCCGGATTTTTATCCGGGTGATATTTAAGGGCTTTCTGGCGGTAGGCCTTTTTTATTTCCGCCTCAGTTGCGGTCACAGGGACGCCGAGCAGATCATAATACTTCCTCTCCTTCACCATTTCTGTCAAAATCCGCTCTCACTGACTGCGGGCGGAACTTTCTAGACTAAAGAGGAGCAGATAAACAATTAACACATACTGTAGTCTTCACACTTTATAAACAAAGATAATAGATATGTCACCCATTCTACTTATTTGATTCGGTACCTCTGTGAAAATTTTCATGCCTTTCTTAAGTATTAATTGGCTGAGGAAAATATATGTCACACTAAACAAATTATTTTGATGGTTGAAAGAATTCTTCACAAGCCTAAACATTTTAAGGCTTTAAGCGTTTGTATCTCCAAAAAGGAGCTCAACTTTGACTAACATTTTGGTTTTTATATTTTTACACTGTAGTGGTTAGACACATGCAGTATTTTGTCGGCTTTTAACTCATAAGTTAGACATTAACATGTAGATATTCAACATGATTTGTCTTGTGCTTTTATGGTTACTGTCTTTATCCGTGACTACAAATGGATGAAGCTAAACATATCTGTTACGTGTTACGAGGGAACCGGCAACACTGTTCGAGCTTCCGGAGGCAGTTCAATTAGAGAACTAACCTACATAGAGTTTCTAGTCAACCTGCTCATAACTAAAGTATTGTTAAAATCCCCTTGGATTGGGAATGATGCTGATCTTGATTGTGTCTGACGAAAAGTAGGCACCAAATGAATAAAACCAATAACACAGAGCTGAAGACATGGGTCAAGACACTTACTTTGTTAGCTCTCTGATTTCTGCAAGTCAATTCACAGATCATTAAAGCTTATCGGAGCTGGTACTATGTCAAACCCACATAGGTTATTCCGGCCTCTGGACAAGCCAAACTATTTGTTCTTCTTACCAAGCCATATTTTTACTTTGTCACTTATTTGCTTATTAACCCTGACTGTTTTTATGTGGTCTTATGTGTGTCAATTGGTTACTCCATTCATTGTGTCTGTATCGAGTCACGCTTGATTAAAACGAGCTGTCGAACTCGTCGTCTTTGCTGCACGCCACTTGGTCTCGTCTTGCTTCGCTTCCTTCTCCTCTTCTCTTCAATTGTCTGTTCAGATCAACGATTGTGTGAAACATACGTATTCAAAATCCATTTTTGTATTAGACTTATAAAATCCCTTTATTCATTAACGCGATTTGAGCCGATAATTATATACGAGGGTAGCTGGGATGAGTATTTCAATAACAACCACTATGCGATCTTACTCGAGTCAGATATCAGACCAATAAAGTGATTAGCCGGACGTTACGATGCGATTAAATGGAGTCAGATACACGAGTGCCACTAAAATTTCAACAGTCAAGCAGGATGAAGCTTTCTCTTATCGAGATTCCGTATCAAGTAGCAGTAGATCGCCGATCCCTTAAGGTAGGAACCTAGGTTTCTTTACGATAAAAGGAAAAATATTGGCAAACCATGGTGATATACTATCTTAGTCGTGAAGAATGTATCATTATTTCCATTAATAGACTCCTGAGGACTCGCTTGGACAACATCACATAGCAGCGAATACTAAATTAGACTACTCGTAAAGAGTAAATAGTGTGCCTCCAATCCGTTCTTCAGTGTCGTGTATCTAATTTCTGGGTGTTATCCATAAGGTGTTTTTGGGACTGAGCTTAAGTAGGTATTTAAGAAGCCTAGGAGTTCTTAGGATGCTACAAGCCATACTCCAATGGGTAAAGGTTCAGTGACTTGAGAGGCTCTTCATGAAGTCTGAATCTGAGTCTCCGAATTTATTTCGTGGCTTGCCTTCGGACAAAGTTCAATGTATTTTTATCGTTTCGAAGTGAAAAATGAGACACTATATTCCCATGCTCCAAATGGGGCCAAATAAAACCGTCGAGGATTAAATGAGAAGTTCTGCCGTCGAGCTGTCCAAAACTGCTTCGCATCGTTACATGTGCAAGGTTTGCTCGCAGGGGATTTCCGCCACAGTTAGGGCCAGACTTTAGGTCATAATGTACTAACACCCCTAGGTCACTTTCAACTTTCAGAGAGAAGCTATCTAAGCTATATGCATAGTCTGAAATATGTCTCAGATGGACGGTCATCTATAAAAATTCGGAAAAGAGGTCTCAGTACTGAAAACTGAAGAAACCCACTAGGACATTCAATGGCCTGGGAAAAAGTAAAGTTTACCTCGACCCTGAAAAGTCGATTAATTGCATGACATATGAGCCATTCAATTTACGGTAAATTGACATCTTAAGGTTTGAGCTTATTGATGAGACACGTCAACCCTATCAAAAGCTTTTGAAAAGTAAAAGTAGTAAACATTAACCTTCCACTTCAGATTAACTATGGATGCCCATCTGTCTATAGCAGTCAGTAGGTTGGTTATAAATGAATAACCCTTGCCGGGACCGTCCTATTTGCGTAAAAAGAGGTTTATGGGTAATAAGTAGTCACGTAGACCACCGAATATCAAGAACTCAATAATTTTGACGGCATTGAGAGGAGTGCCATCGGCCTGTAACTTAAAGGCTCGCTTTGTCGACCTCCCTTGAATATTGGTGACGTGCGCCTGCTTCCAGTATCCCGGTCCCGTCCCTCAGCTAAGCGAATATGAGAACACCACGTTAAGCGCCCTTTCCAAGGTTAAAGGTGCTCCCCTAAGTATGGTAGGATGGACCATATCCGGGTCAGAAGTGTCCTTGTTTAGATGCTGCAGTTTTTGATATAACAAGTCAGCGTCCAGTTTCACTCCCGCTGTAGTGAACAGAACACGGGTGAGGACAATCGAATGTATGTGACACAAAATTACAGAGCATTTCAATAAAATCTGAGAACTATACATTTAAATCGTTAATTTGCAAAATGTTCACCAATTGTTTCAAAATGCCTCAGACCTCATTGTTCTTACATTTTCATACAAATGGTATTCTATTGTCGCTCTTGCTTTCTTGATCTTCCCCCATCTTCTGCTACCAGACATTTCATTCCTCACTCTCGTCATATACTACTTATATCAATGTAAGTAGCACGCACCACACCGCGAGTCCTGCAGAGTCGCAGGTGAAGCTCTCGTCGATTGGAGACGGTTGAAATGTTTTTAAATGCTGTTCTGTCAGAGGGTCAAGAATGTCACCGTCGTCAGGCCATTTGTGCCTAAAGACTGAGAAAATCTGGTTTGGGATTGTTGAAGAGAGTCTGTATGACGGAATAAACTTTTCTAATTGAAGAAAAATTTATCTATTAGCTTCATCAGATATTGAGGAATATTGTTTATGATTGCCATTTTGCACTGATTCCTTGCTTGTTTGTACAGTTTATGCCTGCTGTTGCCACTATAATGTTTATACTCCACCTAGTAGTGCCTTTTGCGTCTTAGGGTTCAAAGAGTGCGATTCTTTATGACTGTATGTTGTTTGACATTTCTGAGGGGCTCTTGTAAGACACTCTGTATTGCGGCATATAAGATAGCGTGCCATGAGAAACTTCAATGAGCGTCAATATCAACATTATGGTGGGCTTCCCAGTCCATCTGGTCTAGATTGGCCTGTAAAACTGAAACGTCCAACGGTTTTAAATTCCAACGTCTGTTGTCAGCAGGATGTTCCAGCTCAGTTTTGCTGATAAAATTAAGAGCTATGACAGCATGGTCGCTCTTACGCAGGGGAGCTAGGATTGATATGTTATCACTTAGAAATTCTACATTTGTTAGTATGCACGCTGAGCATGATGACGTCCGACTATTCCTCCTAGGAGTTGATATTCTGGCCTGACATTTTTGACCAATCCCAAGCCTTCAATGAGGTTGAAGAACCGAGCTCTATTAGAGTTGTTACCTCTTATATATGTGTATTCAATAGAGTAGACTTTAGAAAGACTGAAGTTTCCTAGAATCAGGATGAGAGTTTATCCGAGACGAATAGGGAGGAATGCTCCCTCCAGCATACGATTGTCGTTTTCTGTTTAGGCGTTTTGTAGATGACTCCAACTAGACATCTAAAGATGTAACAATGCCACTGGGCATCATACAGCTTTACTAAGATTAATAAACTCTTCGGAGTATATTTCGTGCCTGTAAGTAATCCTTGTGCTATTGAGAGAAGAAACCAAACTAGTGATGAATAGGTCTTTATTTAGATCTTAGCGCAGTCACAGTGGAGCGTAGGATTACCTGTTCAGACAAACAAAGCCTCTCAACATTCTGTATAAGATAATAGGAGATATAACGCCTATACAAAATAAGGAAGCGAGTGAATACTTGAACCTTACTGTTTTGACATTTGCTTAGTTGTTTGAGGTCAGCTCTTAAGCAATCAACCTAAGCTGTTACATATACATGATGTGCTACGAAGCCAAATCGTAGAAACACTATTGCCCCATTCCATATCCCTGTTTTACCGTCTTTTCAAAACAAAGACATGCCGGGTATTGCAAGCCCCTGGTCCGTAGTTTGAGGTACCAATGTTTCAAATATTCCTATCAGATGAGCATTATTAGCGGCACTTAGCTCACGTAATTCACCCATCCTGTTCCGTAAACTCGTGTCGTTCATATGAGGGCAGTTTATACTTTTGATTTGAAACGCGTGAGCTCCCTTGTCCCATTTGTCTGAATGAGCTTTGTGTGAATGGACAAGCAACCCCTGCATCTTCTACGTTTTTTCTTCGATCATGACAGTTCACAAATGGAATACTTAGTTCAAATTCACTTTTGTGCTTGGTCTCTGTATCGTGTGGTCTGTCCGGATGCGTTTGGATTCTTGTTAGTAACTGACACCGGTTGACACTGATTGTTTCGAGAGTGGCAGCCGCCGGTTGCATGGATGAGCAGGTTATCCTCACTAGCCAAGATCTAAAATCTCCATCCCTGCTAAACGATCACAATGCTTATTGGGTCAATACGTACTTTAGCTTCAAGGACTGTCTTACAACTTTCCACTTCAGAATGTTACAGTCTTCATAATTAAGGTCCGTGTTTTCTAGAACACAAGGATAGTGATATTTCGCGCGCGAAAGAACGTCGCATGAGACACTTTAGGAGTGTTCCTGATGAGAGT